GTTTGTCCACTAAATATTAAGCTACGGCCAGCAGCTAGTTAGCTTAGCATAAAGACTGGAAACAAGGTGAAACAGCTAGCCTGGCTCAGTCCAAAGGTAATTAAATCTGTCTACCTAAGCTGGCTAATTAACACTTTAGATTTTGTTTTTTTTTAATTTGTACTGAATCCAAAGAATAAAAACTACAAGCCAGTGTAGCGGTCTCCCCTTAGTGTCCGTGCTAAGCTAATGGTCCCCTGGCTGTAGCTTCATATTTTACCAGACAGACATGAGAGTGGAATAGATTTTCTTATCTAACTCTCAGCAAGAAAGCAAATACCGTTAAGTATTTTCCCATAGATATTCAATACAATATATACTATTACTTTTCAACAGCTGTGTACCACTAACTCTTTTTGACTGCTGTCATTGCTGTACGGCCTAGCTCAGGTTAAACCCTGTGTTAAACATGAACAAACACACAGAGAGAATGAATCACATTCACCAACCAGAAACCTGAATCATCTTCTTTGCTAGGAAACAGCAGTTCTTCTGACTCTGACTGGCTAATACTCGCTGCCTTTGTCGGTTTGTGTGGTCAGGTATAGGCGTGAGGCGTGAGGCGTGAGATTGGTTAGCTGGAGTAAGAATATCAGGGTAAACCAATCAGAGTCAGAGTACGGTGGGTCATGACTTCGCCGTCCTGGGGGGAAAAAACTATGGGAGCGCTGATGGGAAGCAGCAGGATCTCATTTCGGGGATAATAAATGAGGTGATATGTGATTGGTGCGTAGGCTCATAGTCGGACCTTTACACGTTTACATTGATTATTTTAGGCCTGGTATACCAGCCTAAAGCAAAATGGAAAAAGAAAAACAAAAAAAAAACACAAAAAAAAAACAAACACAAATTGTTATTCAAGTCACACACACCCCTCCATGCAGAAGTGCTTAGACAGCACATGAATTATGAAAAGGCATCAATATGCAACGACGTCTCCTCACTCATCCTGTCAGTGTTACAGTACGCAGTGTATTTCCTGCTCCCTGAGAACACTGTATCCATGTAGGAAACTGTGTCTGCCTGTCAACACATCCTTACATCCTCTACTGTGCCAGCGAGCGTCTGAATACACATACGGAGCATTTAAGGATATGCAGCAGTTCTGCTTTAGCACAACGTCCACGCACTAACCGAGAGGCCGCGCGCCCAGCGAGACGCCCCGACAACACCCCGACAACACCCCGAGCTCCGTTCATGTCGTATGTCTCCGAGCGCTGCCATGTTAGTGAGGAAGAAGCGCAGGAGAGGGTGATGGGCTGGAAAGATCCCGCTTGTAAGTGTGAGTTAGCACATTGTCACATTTTGAGCTGAACGCAACATCGGTCTTGTCTATTGAAGGGAAAGGCCTGCATCTAGAGGGGGGTGTCGGGATCGCTGCATTAAAGGACTATTCCGTCCAAAAACAAAAAGGCATGACATCAAACACTGTAGTCCTCGCCAAAAAGAAGACAAAACGTGTAGGGAACGTTTAAAAGACGAGAGGGACAACAGAAACAGCCTCTCAGTGCCTCTCTCAGTGTTTGCTGGTAGTTTAGTTTTAGTGTTTTAGTGTTTTAGTTTAAGGTAGTGCCACTGAACTGTCTTTTTGCCAGCAGCTTGGCGTTTATAAGCTGCTGGAGCACTCTCCCAATAACTGCATGTTGTGTTGTTGAACTGAGTGGAAGCATCCTGACTCCGAGGATTCAGCAGGTCTTTGGTCTTAACCTTTGAGGGCTTGGTGCACATATACACATCTACAGCTTCTCCTGGCCGATTCAGTGTGGTTGTGTGTGGCTCATCATTTACCCGTGGTGGAATTTAATGTTGTAACGTGGGGAAAAGAGACGGCATTACCCTGCCAGGCTCAGGTTAGTATCTTGGGGAGAAGTTAGTTTTATGGTAGACTGGTAAAAACCCCAAAGCACCTGTCATTCAGATGTGATTAGACACTTCTGTGATTGACGCTGTGGCCGACCACAGAGTGCAGCCTTTGAATTCTCAAGGTGAACCGACGCTTAACATTCAATCTGCGTCAGAAGGTCAGCGGACTGCCTGCTGCAGCCTGAATGTTGATCGTGACCATCTGAGGCGGACACAGTCAGCGTGGAGTGCACAGTGACTGATGGAAGAGCGCTCTGATATGTAACTGAGCCACGGGGGGGAAGGGGG